AGTTAAGGGTCATTGGTTGAGTTAAACACGTGTAACCAACGTTTTAAAAAAGAATTAATTGTTTGTGGTGCTCTTGCAGTTTTCTGTTAGATTCGTCTTTTTACTCAGCTATTTTTTTGAGATCAAATACTTTAACAACAAGGTGATATGTGACATGATCGAGAAACCATCGCGGAGCATTATTGCATCGTTGGATGATGCTTGCAAGTCGCCGGGTGAAGTCACCGACAAGGTTTGTAAAAGGCGACGGTAAAAATGCTAAGTACCATGGATTTTTAAACCATTTCAGATGGTACTCGAGTCGATGAACGAGCATCTTAAGGAGAATCCGTACTTCAAAACGCGTGCCATCGACGAAGCGGACAAATCCTTGCAGTTCCAGATCGATTTTCGGATCAAGCATTATGCTGGTGATGTCAACTACTGTATTCTCGGCTTCTCTGAAAAGAACAAAGACCCGTTATTTCAAGATTTTAAGAGACTTTTGTTCAACAGGTACTTTGACACGAACATAAAGCCTCAAAGCGCTTTTATACACTCATATATGCTTTGCAAACACATAACAGCGGTCAAATGTTTAGTTAGATGTGGTTCAAAGAATGTATTGGAAGATTGAAGGGGTTCTTCCCAGAAACTGCCCTTTTGTTTAAAATGATCAGTTTTCTATCACATCGTACTCCCAGTGCTAACCTCTGTGCGATACTCGAGGCTAAGCCTTAAAGCTATTCATAGATTGCAAACTACCTACACAGCGTGGAAGTAACAAGAAAAGATAGGGCGAGAATTGAATCGATAAGAACACATACGAGAACCTAAGTGAAGAAGTAGGCCTAGCAATTGGCTGGACAATTAGCAAAAAGAACCCACCGTCACTGTACTAGAAAGACGTTGCATTGAATTCTATGAGAGACTAAACGGCCCGCTGAAAGATCTCCAGATTGATGTCAACATGTGCTGAAGAATTTGGCTGGATAAAGAGGAATGAATATAAGACAGACATGTGTGGCAAAGTCTTGGAGGGATTTTCGTCCTGCAGTGGATCGACAAAGGCTGAAGATGATAAAAGAAAGCTCGAAGTTTTATTGGGTGGAAATGAGTGTAGTAGTTCGCTTTTCGGTTT